ATTAAAAATTATTACACGTGTATTTTATTTAATTAAATTAAAAATATTTATTGTAAAATGAAAAGTCAAATGTTTAGTTTATTATTATTGTTACTATTACTAAATTTATTAAGTTATATAAATGCTGATTATAATATTAGTGAATACTTGTCAGTGGGTGAGAGCCGTAACTTTACGGGACGGGTAGTGTTGGTCACCGGATCTAACAGTGGTATTGGCGAAGGGATTGTCAAACTGTTTGCCATTTTGGGCGCCAATGTTGTGGTCACCGGTAGGAATGTGACCAGGATCAATAACGTGGTCAATGAGTGTCATCAATTATCGCCACGATCTCTGCAGGTAAATGATTGAAAGGTGTATAGAATATAGTCTTATTTAATATCAGCAATTAATTTATAACTCGTTATACAAATTATTATAATTAAATGTGTTAATCATAATCACTAATTTCATTAATACACCACATAATACATCAGCCATTGGGCATTGCGGCCGATTTGACCAAGAGTGATGAGCTGGCCAATTTAATCGACTTAACGATCAAACATTTTGGGAAACTTGACGTATTGGTCAACAATGCGGGACAATATTTTCCATTTACCAAGATCAGTTCGGATAATTTACTAGCTGTCCATGATCAAATATTTGCCATCAATTTGAGGGTTATTGTTGAGCTCATACACCGATCGGTACCCCATTTAGAGCGCACGCGCGGATCAATTATAAACATAGCTAGTATAGCCGGCATTATTCCCGTATGTATTAAATGTACTAAAAATCATGGTCTTTTTATTACCAACCATTAATTTCATTTTCATTTGTCAATAAATTGGCTGAAACACTACCAATAGCATTAAATATGGTAATATAATTTGTTTTTATAATTTAAATTAGTCAATAGTTCACCATGCTTACTCGCCATCAAAAGCTGGTGTGATTACATTGACAAATGCTCTGGGTATTGAATTGGGGCCAATGGGAATTCGCGTCAATTCAATCAGGTAACAACAATCATTTTTTAAATACTTTTAATTTTAAAAAAACAATTTGCGTAAATTATATCACACCGACTAATTGTGCTTATCATAATATTAAATTACCATGCTAACTGATAATAATAACTTTACTACCGACTCATTATTGTAATATATTAATTATAGCCCCGGATGTATTCAAAGTCGCGGTGTGCCACCTGGTTTATTCAAAAACAAACTACCTGAATTTACACCCGTGGGTCGCCCTGGTATGCCTCTGGACATTGCCAAAGGGGTGACATTCCTGGCCTCAAGTGATGCCCAATTTATAACCGGCACTAATCTAATATTGGACGGGGGCATGCTTCATAATTTGGGATATTTCAATAAAATACTTTATTCTGAATAAACAATATTCAAGAAAAACTTTAAACTAAATAAAATATAATTAAAAAAAATTAGAATTTACATTATTGTACATATTACATAAAACGGAATATGAAAAAGTATATTTTTAATTTCAAAGTAAAGTATTCAAACAAACAAAATTTCTGAACTTGATTATATTATGAAAATTAATTATATATATTTTTAAATACATTTCAATATTTTTCCTTGAACATTTCTCTGTAGGCCTTATAAATTGTTAAATATAATTACACTTTATATATCAATATATAATATTTACATGAACAATAAGAATATAATAACAAAAAACTAACTTTTATAAAAAGCTGACTAAATGCTCAAAACGAGTGTTGAGCAATATATCAAAATATTTATTATAAATTTAATGCATAGAATTAACAGTAGTTAATAAATGGTTTATGTGAGCGGTATGCAATAAAATACATATATATAATAACTTACAGGTAGTATATTTATTTACTAACATACTAATTATGCTTAAGAATAAAGTAATAATGCGTTGGTTATCTTTAGTAATTATCTATTATTTATTATGATCATAAAAATTAACAAATATTTTATAAATGCTTAATATTAGCATTTAGTTATAGCTCATAATATTTATAAATAAAATTATCGACCATTAGATTTTATAATGCCATATGATATTTATTTAAAACTGAAGCTTTATTATTATTTTTATAGTTATTGCAACATTATTGCAGAATCTTAGAAATAGGCATTAAATTAAAGTTGTTTAGTTAAACCATTTTAGCTAAATATAAAATATTTATTTAGTATTAATATAACAAGTATAATATATAACATTAAAATATGGCTGTTGTGATAAATAAGTTTATTAAGTGTATAATTTTACCATGGACATCTATGAAATATTATTTTACTAAAACTCGAGTCAATACATTATTAAACGAAATAAATGCAAACCAAATATTGCCCGAAAAGCTGGCTATACGTAAAGCCGGCACTCATTTCTATAGTATTGGTCTCTCGATGTATAAGCCGTTCAATGCCTATAGAAATACATTCTTGCCCGAAAGGCTGGCTACACGTAAAGCCGGCACTCATTTCTATAGTATTGGTCTCTCGATGTATAAGCCGTTCAATGCCTATAGAAATACATTCAAACATCCATTACTTGTTTTCATTTCAACATTTTTATGGTCTTTAAGACAATTAATATTTATATTAATTCCCGAACAAAACCAATTGTTTTACGCTACTTATGGCGATTGGAGTTATTTTCTGGGAATGAGATTTGTTTCAAGTTTATGTGCTATTAATTACATGTTTATACCAATAATATCACAATTAATACATTATTACAATTTTAAAAGAGGTATAAAACCAACGGATTTAATAGTATTTGAAATGCTTTCGGGTTTTATAACACCTAAAAGTATTGGCATTGAAAATCAACGACTAATTTATAAATTAATTAAATTCAATAAATTTGTCATTAAAATTGCGGAATTAACAACTAGGACATCATTTGTAATGATTTTTATCATGATCTTTCCAGTGTATTTAATTAAAAATATTCACCTTGCTATGTCACTACCACATTCTATTATACAAACTTATGTGTTTAACAATGCATTTGTATTAGTCATTTGGCAATTGATTTATTATTCAATTATTAATTATTATCTCGTTTTAAAATACCAATCAATATATCAATCGGTTAATGTATTTAAATATTACAACAAAAATAACAAACAAATTAATAATGTTTACAAATTGTTGTTAAAATATAACAATTTATTTCTGGAAATAAATGAATACAATCGCAATGTTTGGTCAAAAATATTGGGCATTTACTGGATATTAATCTCGTTTACAATTACTAGTCTTATACTATTGTCAAATTATGCAAATACCCTGTTCATTATTAAATTAACTATTTTTATCGCAGCTTTTGATTTGTTTTTAACGTTACTATTTGTTATACACTATTCATCATTACTTCACAACCAAAGCATTATATGTTATAAACAATTGAATTCATTATATATTAGAAATAATAAAATTAATATTTACTGCAAATTAAAGGTATTTAATTTAATGATATTACAAGTAATTTTAAATTAATATATTTGTTATAAAAATGCATTTATTAAACAGTTAATGACATTTACTGAGCGTTTGGGTGGGAATAGAGTTGGCTTTTATTGTTGGAAATTATTTATAATCAATAGATTTCAAGGATTTAAAGTTTGTATTTCATATATAATATATTTTATTAAAATATTTTTATGTTAATTTTACAGATTATATGTGGCATTGCATTGATTTATATTAAATTGCTTAAATATCATAAAAATTAGTTTAACATAAGAAAATAATAGTAAATCAATAGCCATATTTATTCTTGCTCAATAATTAATTTATAGTAATTTATATACTTGTTTAATTACAATATTTTTATAAGTGATTAATTATCTAGGATTAAGATATGTGTTTAATTTCACACAATTTACTTTGTTTGAATCTAAGTAGATTACTTCTAATAAAAATTAAAATATTACAATAAATTTAAAATTATATTTACTTGAGACTTATTTCAATAACACGAGTGACCAGATTGATTGCATTAATAATGCAGCATTATACATTTGTTGTAGAAAAATATTGAAAGTATATTTGTTTTAATTAAACTTTTGTTAACTAATTGCTAATAGCTTAACAGCTATATTAATATTGCAGTGAAACTGCATTGTACTTGTAGTTAGGTTTTACTGTATTTGTTGTGTAACACTCTAGTGATTGGTCAACACTGAGTTCTCTGGAATGTTACACAACTCCCCGCATACCAGAAGGCTATAAGAGGGCCAACTTTCCCAACTCTCGGGGCTTTTTAACTCTGACTCCTCTTACTGTACGTAAGAGTGAGTGCAGTACTCCTCTAAAGCCACAGAACTATACATTTTATTTTACTTTTATTTTATAATCAATAAAACGTTTTTATTACTTCAATTGTGTATTATTTAATAAGTAATCCTAAGCAACCTGTGGTAATCAACCGGGAGCAGCGGTCACGCGAGTGGGCAAAGCCGTGAACAACAATAATTACGAGATCAACATTTCATGGATTGGCAAACCCATGGAACGACAGGTATAAGTCTCAGGTATCGCCCGCTCCACGCACTCGACTGAAGCCGTGATTGACAGCTACAGAGTGAATGCCATGAAGAGTGCATTCCTGTTGCAATATTTAAGTATGGTAAACTAGTTAGTAATACAGTATAACTTATGACACATGAAATATAAGTTATGTATTCACAGATGGATTTGTTTAATTATTGTGACAAATTTTAATTGAATTATTTTTATGATGATGACCATGGTGGTCTAATAGGCACATCACATGATTGAAATACAAAACACAAACAAAAATTGTCGTTTAATATTAAATTTTATTTTAAACAATTTGTTTATTTTTATTTTAACCGATTACTTAAATAAAAATAAGAGCGTTATTGATTATTGTTGTAATTACAATTTTAATTAAATTTAAACCCTTTAATTAAAATAGCAAATAAATTATTACATTTATTAGATTTAATTAAAAATATTTATTGCAAAATGAAATATAAAATGTTTAGTTTCTTGTTATTATTACTAAACTTATCAAGTTATATAAAAGCTGATTATAATATTAGTGAATACTTGTCAGTGGGTGAGAGCCGTAACTTTACGGGACGGGTAGTGTTGGTCACCGGATCTAACAGTGGTATCGGCGAAGGGATTGTCAAACTGTTTGCCATTTTGGGCGCCAATGTTGTGGTCACCGGTAGGAATGTGACCAGGATCAATAATGTGGTCAATGAGTGTCGCAAAATATCGCCACAATCACTGGAGGTAAAGTTATCAAGAATTATTAAAAAATTTCGTTTATTATTAATTATTAATTTAAAACTCGTTATACAAATAAATTTAATTAAATGAATATTTCAGTTTCATTGTAGCATTAACAAAAAAAATAACATTTATAAATATTTTTAGGTAATTCTATGATTTTAAACATTGATGTAGATGAAAGTCTAAATTATATAAAATGTATTAACCATAATTAAGTTACTAATTGCATTAATACACTATATAATACATAAGCCGTTGGGAATTGCGGCCGATTTGACCAAGAGCGATGAGCTGGCCAATTTAATCGACTCGACGATCAAACATTTCGGAAAACTTAATGTATTGGTCAACAACGCGGGACAATTTCTCCCATTAACCAAAATTAGTTCGGACAATTTACTAGCTGTCCATGATCAGATATTTGCCATCAACTTGAGGGCCATCGTTGAGCTCATACACCGATCGGTACCCCATTTGAAGCGCACGCGCGGATCCATTATAAACACAGCCAGTATTTCTGGCATTATTCCAGTATGTATTAAATGTGTCCATGTCCTTTTATTATTAGTAATGGTATTTGAAAATAATACTATTTTGCCTTATGTATGATTAAATTTATAAGTGATTATCACTATTTGCAGCTAGGTTAATTACATGTCCTTCTCAATAGTTAAGTCTAAATATAATTAAAAATTATACAATGATTACTTAACGCATACCTAATTGGCCCACTGATAATCAGTGGACAAATTAAAATTCATGTTACAATTAATGTAAATAAAATTAATGAGTATTGGCTGATCAATAATTTATTGAGTTGCGATTGATTAAAAGTCATTTATTAAGGTGAGTAAAAAATTAGTAATTGGACTTTAAAACTAAGGAGGATTGTCTCTCAATTTAATGGAGGGGGAGTTGGTTAGCTATGCGTTAATAGTGATCAAATGTTTTTATATTATAAAATTAGTTTAATTTATTAAAAACAGTTAAAGTAATGTCATAAATAAATTTACAACACTATAACATAGCGTGCTCATTTAGTAATTTACAGGGAAGAACATTTATCATATTTGTTTAAAAATTTCTTGACACTACCCATAGCATGGAATATAGTAACATAATTTGTTTTTACAATTTAAATTAGTCAATGCCTCACCATGCTTACTCGCCTACAAAAGCTGGCGTGATTACATTGACAAAAGCATTGGGCCTGGAATTAGGGCCAATGGGAATTCGCATCAATTCAATCAGGTAAAAATAATTATTGTTATCATTAAACAAAAAAAATTGCGCAATATTGTACACTATATTATAAATTAATTATGATAAATAATTAACTTATGATAAATGTATTATTACCCTCATTATTTTTACTATATTAATAATAGCCCGGGAGTCACTCAAAGTCGAAATATGCCAGCTGAATTTTTAACACACGTGATTGAATTTACACCAGTGGGTCGCCCTGGTATGCCACTAGATATTGCCAAAGGGGTGGTATTCCTGGCCTCAAGTGATGCTCAATTTATAACCGGCACTAATCTAATAATGGACGGGGGCATACTTTCTAACATGGGATATTTTAATCAAAAAATTGTATCTGCATAGAGAATACTAATGACAAATTTTAAGCAAAATAAATTTTAATAGTTATATTAAATACAACATTTACAATATTGTTTGGTTCGTAGTAATAATAATAATTTTAATTATAATAATATTACATATTATTAAAATTAACAACAATTTGAATATAATTTAGACATCATAAGCAAAGTAAACAGATTTCTCGCAAATCCATACAATAATGCAAAAGAGATAACAAAATAAAATAAATTCAAACAACGATTTAAACTCTTTATAAATTAACTTTTCGTACGGAATATCAAAATCGCCGTAAAAGTCGGCCATTTCTTTACCCCCAGGTTTAAGATAGCCATTGATAATCATATTTATGTAAATATGATGGTAATAATCAGACTTCATTTGAACCCAGAATTGATAGATTGCGGACTCGTATAAACGGCGTGTACTGTATTTATAGAAATATTAATTCATAATACAAGTTAACAATCTTTTTAATAAATAAATAAAATTACATATTATGAGCTAGGTTGCTAAATTGAAACGCGTGGCCGTAGCACAGGGTCGCCCATTGATAGGGTAAATAGGGTTTACCGGCGTGTGTTCTAAGCACGGGGGCAAATATTCTACGTATAAGTTCTATATACTCGGCGGTGTCTATAAATGCACTGTCCCGAAAATAAGCAAGCACATCGTCTGCATTGTTCATTGAATCGAGCTCGTTCATTATATCAAAGCTGCTCATCTGTAATTTGGCTAACAATTTTTTGTATTTGTCCCGAAAGTCGGTATCAAAGTCCCGATAAATGCGAGTATCCCTTAACATCCAGTAAAGGTATTCCTCGGTGTATACACTGAGCCGATCGCCGATCAGATCGTCAATAGTCTCGGCGTTCATTATTTCCCGGTTAACCATTTTCTCGGTTATGTTGTTTTGAACGATATATACTAATGGTGTGATCGATAGCACCCATAATAGGTATATGTAATTGCGGTAACCCTTGTATTCGCCCAAAGCCAGCATTGGTTGGCAATACATCCAAATTTTATTCAATAGGGATTTGTTTGTATTAAATACCGGATTGAATTTATAAACAAATTTATCGCTTATTATTATAAATATGAGCGAGATGAAAATGTAAAACCATGTATGTTCGGAAAATACTCGCCAACAGTCCATCATTGATGAATATGGTTTATAGACATTAATAGTGGCGTAACTCATCAGATAAGACATGTATAGCGGTTGTGTGCAATTCAAGTGATCCCGATTTGTAAACTTATAATAATCGGTTTCGTAATTGTCGGCAGCGGTTACTAATCCCATCCTGGTCATATTAGCATCGAAATAATTGTTCTGAGCTGCACCGTTATGAAGTATATATAAATGAATGCTAAATAAAATAATTAAATAAAATTAATAATATTTTATTTTAATTGATCATATTCAATAACCCAAACCTGTGATTGACTAATTTGCCCATCTCTAACAATACCGGCAAAACCAATGAGCTGTAGTAAATGCTTGATTCATTATAGCCGTTGGTTTCCAACATATGTCCCGAAGTTTCTTGCTAAGGGTATAAGACATTTATTTTAAGTTTTGCAAAACTTTTAATGTCATTTATTTGTTTGCCATGTTGGTCACATTAAACAATACAGTATAATACTTTTAACCAAATATAATAGCCTTCATATGAAGAGCTCAGGGGACTTAACCCATATTTTATGTAAAATAGTAATAAAAATAATTTTAAATGATTTTATAAACCATTGCTGAGCGGAGAAGTATTTCAGGCATAATCGGGCATTTCCGGGGGATAATCATAATGCATTGTCTGTGTGAGCATATGGGCAATACCTATTTTTGCACAGTTTTGTTATAAATCGTATTAAATATAAAATTTTTAATATAAAATTGTGGTTTAAAAACGAGAAATATGTATCTAGCTAATTCCGTTTGATAGAAATTCCGATTATAGGCTAGGCAGATTTTTTTAACCACGATTCATATATGAAGAATGTGGTTTATAGGATCGTTCT